ATTGATTCATTGTTTGGAAATTCCATGGCGGTTTCTAGTGTATCTTCCTTCCTGTTACCCTCTTTCGCCATTCCAACATCTTCGTCTTCTCCTACCAGACAGAAATCATCTCTGCTTTCATTGCTTCCATCTTCTTCTCATGGCGGTGGCCTTAGTTCCTCCTGCGTCCTTCACAAACCATCCATTTCCTTAACGAAGAAGGTCTTCGCTGCTCCAGAAACCCTAGATTCAATTCCAGAAACTCTCGATGAACCCGTCTCTGAGGAGGTACACTTTTTTCCTCACTCTCTCTGTCTTTCTCCGATTTTTCGATTGTTTGCAAATACAATGCGGAGATTTAGGTTTAGTTGCTCCTTTTGTGTTTATTGTTCAGTTCTGTTGAAGATTATCCTACATACTACTCGTTCTTCTGTATCTGTTGTGTGATTCAGGTTCCGAGCTCTTCCTCCATCAATGTCGACGCTGATAAGGTATATTCCATTGCCTCACTACTAGAAACTGATACCATTGTTAGAGGTTTTTCCATTGCCTCACTAGTAGAAATTGATACCATTGTTAGAGATTTTTCCAATGATTTGGTGTTCTATGTCCAAATCAGTACACTTTTTGGTTTACTTGCGTTTTTACATCACTCGAAGTAGCTCTCTTATGTGTGTTAGTGATTCCATTGGTTAGTAAGAAATGCCATTATGTAGATTTTAGATAGATTTTCTGACCAATATCATCTTCAATCAAAGTATATACAGAGAAAGACAAGTATCAAGTGATCATCTTTAGGTGTATTTTGACCAAGAGATTGAAATATTTGCCACATTAGAGAGTTTTGGTTTTGTGGAGATTCATTGTGTTTGGGTTAAGTTGATTTTGTTTTCTTCTAAGCAGATGGCACCAAAGCAAAAGATTAGGATCAAGCTTAGATCATACTGGGTGCCTCTTATTGAGGATTCATGCAAGCAGATACTTGACGCTGCAAGAAATACTAATGCAAAGACCATGGGACCTGTTCCGTTGCCGACCAAGAAGCGTATCTACTGTGTTCTCAAGTCTCCTCACGTTCACAAGGATGCTAGGTTCCATTTCGAAATCAGGACACACCAGCGTATGATTGATATTCTCTACCCGACTGCTCAAACTATCGATTCTCTGATGCAACTTGATCTTCCTGCTGGTGTTGATGTCGAGGTGAAGCTCTGAACAACGAGCGTAACAACAATGGTAAAGATAAAAGCTCTTTCCTCTTCCTGTGTTCTGAATACATAAGTCCCCTCGGTTTTGGAATTACAATCTTGATGCTTCCAACTGAAATCCACAAAAAATCTTCGTCAAATTACGATCTTGATGCTTTTTTTTTAACCAAGGTTTTTGTTCCTCAGAGGTGATGATGGGCATTTGCATTGCATGAACAGGCTGATTCAGATCAACCACATTGCTTAGAACTGGTAAGCCCTGTATCATCCTTTTGAGACAATCTGTAATGAAACTGTTTAAGTGTATTCTCTGGTCCTAGCAAAGTTGGAATCTTTAGTTATCCTTGTTCTTAGTTGATGAACAAATCCGCAAAGTAAGCAAGTTCAAAGGAATTTTTTGTATGTTGTGTTTACTTTACTAATTGTTTTGCAATCAATATTAGAGAATTAC